ATAGTGGTTTTGGGACGTTAAACCCCACATATCAATCAATCAATCCGAAATGCTGAAAATGACCGAATCGTTTTCAGCCTTTCGTATTTGGGGCATCATCTCGCATGTTCAAACGTGACTAGTTGAAAGGGCGCTATTGTAATTGGATTGTTCTCCCGTTCCAAATTCAGAGGAAATGTTGAAGCACCCGAAAATTGAACAGTGCTTAACTTTACTTCGCTCAGTCGTTTGAACCTGAAACGAAATTAAAAATTGTTTTTCGTGCGCTTCGTGTATACCGGTTTTGAAAACAGTATTACCGGGTGATGAGATTATTACGCCTGCACTCGGATAAGTTACAATGGCATTCTCGTTGAGACTCCAGTCAAGGTGCGCGACTGGTTGGTAGCCAGCTGTTCTTTTGATAAGGAACGAATAGCCCAATTATTCTTATCATCTCGCCACGCCCACGTGGAACTCGGAGATCCGCTTGTGTAAACCCGTCAGCTCCTCTCACCTTGGTGAGGCTCCTTATCTCGGCTATAGCTTTATTTGATGACGGCCTTGTGCGTGAAACCGCTTATCGTGATTTTTATGACACTGTGTGAATTGCGCGCATACCATGGCACGTGCATGCGCAATGGCTGTCGACAAAAGCTTTCTTTTCTCTTTTTGGAGGGGGCGGGGGGGTCTGCTACCTGCAGCTCTCAAGGGAAGCTTGGCCGCAAAATATAGTTATTTATAACTTGATCAATACTTTTAGATGGATATGTCGACTGCTGTGGCACGTTATCTGTGATCGAATTTATAGTACCCCGAAAATTCTCGTGGGCCACGTATATGGAGGGGTAGCCAAAATTTAGACTGACGGCAGTCTAATGACGCTTTGCTGCGTCATTAGACGCTTTGCTGCGTCATTAGACTGCCGTCAGCTGTTCCAAGCTCTTCTCGAGACCTTGAGGAGGACGAAGTAAAATGACTTAGTAGAAAGCGCGGTTGGAAGGCGTAGAGAAAACTACCGCCTACTCGCATAGTCGTCGGTAGGATATTCTCGTGTGTGTGTGTGGGGGGGGGGGGGGGCAAACTTGTTGAATCGTGGTTGGAAGAGGGGGAGAGTGCTGGCGTAGCCTGGTTGTGGGCAAGTGCTCATGTGGCTTGAGCGGGGCAAGTGCCCCTTTTGCACGATACTCGCGTGCGAGAGCATGTTGGTGGTTTGTCAGTTCGCGCGTTCATCGTTTCTGCCGCATAGCAAACGTTTCCCGCTACGATTCCCAGGTGTCGCCACCGGACGCTGCGCTGCGCGCCTCCGTTTTGATCCTTCTTTTTATTCTTCGGCTGTGTTTCTTCCCCCTTTGCGATCTGTTTGTGTTTCTATTTTGGCGCGGACTCTGGAAAACTGGCCCTGTCGCTGTGCAACGGAACGGGAACTGTGTTTTTGCTCGCGCCCACCGTCGTCACTTCCACGCAGTGCTGCTGTTTTTCTTCTTCCTTTTCTTTCTCTCTTCGTGGTACTGGTTGGCTGGGCCGTGCGTTCTTTCCTTCCCGTTTTTCGTTTCGCACTATCTCGCTCGCCCGTGACTGCTCGTACTGGGTCTGACGCAGGCTAACACCGTCAACCCGCCGTTTGGAAGGTGATTTGGCGAGCGCGCGCTAACGCTTTGACGACAGCGCACCTGGGCTGGTGGTTGGTAGCAGCGAAACGGCGCAAATCATCAGATGAGCAACCGGTGTTGAAAGAGCGGCGTGTGTGTGTGTGTGCAGTGTGTAGCTGTGGAGAACGGACCCTTCGCTGGCTCGTCCGACCTGGCTCGCATCGCGTCGACCCAACGGAACGACGGGCTGCAGGCGTTTCACCGCTCGCCCGACTGCCGGCTCACCCCAGCCGTTCTTTGTGCACGATCGGCTCGCGTGAGTCAGAGGGGCTCCAGCCTGCCAGAGGAACGTCTGTGTTTGTTGCGTGCACGGTGCGGACTTGAGCGACTGCTCCTCCGCGTGTACAGCTTTCCCTCTCGCTCCCTCGTCTGTGAACACCTGTGTTGATCTTCGCATCTGCGTTGATGCTAGCGTCGATAGCAGAATACCTCTACTCGTATGGAGGAGGCAGCGGCAGCAGCCAGTGTAATGCGTCGGAACCGCACAACTGTCGCCGTGGTACGTATCGGCACTCTGTCGAATGCGTAATAATGATTCAGTGCTGTGATCGTCGCGTCGTATAGGTCCGGACGAGCGGTCCAGGGTTGACCGACAGGCGTCTCAAGTTCGTGTGACGTCGCGCGCGCTGTTGCCAACATCCTTGCACGCGTGATTTCCGTGCGTGTGTGTTGTCATCGCGTCGTTTCGGTGCGCTTGCACCCGCGAGTTCATGCACCCCCCTCCCCTCCCCCTACTAATCGATGACTGGGAAGTTGCGAAGGATGTGACGCTAGTGGACGTCGAGGGAACTACCGAGATTTAGTCGAAAAAGGCATCTGCCCGGGGGCTTTCCTGTAGTTTGGTGCCCCGGCAACGACGACGATCTGTAAGTTGTTTCTCCCGTCTGTGTGAGGAGAATTTTCCTCGTTTCACCCTCGTCCGCGCTATAAACAGCAGCACCAAGTCGCTGCGCGAATCGAGGTAAAAGTGCGCGGCCCGCCCAGCCCTGACCACTTGTTTGATTTTCGCTTGCGCGCGTTGTGATGTTTCGTTTTTGCTGTTTTTTTTTTTTCGCTTTGCATACCGCGCTCTATCGTGTTTACGTATACGATGCTACCGCTCATCCACTTCCAGTTTTCACAGAACGCGAATCACGATTTCCCTTCATTGTTTGTATACCGTAGTGACACTTATCTCGCGTGCGGTGTGGTTTGCGAAGCTGGCCACGTGTTTTCGCAGCTGAGTTATCCTTACGTGTGGCGCGGAATGTCTAGCTGCGAGGCGCGTGGCATGTCCGTATCGTATTTGATCACCTTTCCGGGAGTGCGCGCTTCGTGCGTTATGCAATCCGGCGCGCATAACGCTATCGAAATATCCACGTACTTCCTGACGGCTGTCGCGATTTTTTTTCCTTCCGTCTTCGAACCTCCGGCATCTGGAACACTTCGACCGGCCAGCGTATGGCGTCGTCGTCGTGGTCACGATCGCATTTCTACGGGCTGCAATATGTTTCGCCTCGCACGGTGGCCTCTGAATGGGGTTTACGGCATTCGCAGCAGAGAAAACAACTTACACAGATCGGCGAATAATTCTCTTCGGTACACGGGTGCAGCACAAAAGGGTTTCGAAGGACGCATGCGTGATTGTCGCTTGTTGTACTTATCCTCGATCACTGACTGGTTCGGCGAACTGATTCTGTGTCGTTCAGCAAGGACCCCCTCGTATGACATAAATTATTTTCATTTCGAACTATATCGTTTTTGCTTCTGTGATCATTTTTTATGTGCTAAATCTAAAAATATATATCTGACGTGGAGATAGATTTCATGCCACATATACTAGAAGACCCCCTTTCCTCTTTTTTTGTTCCCTTATCAATGGAGCTGCCGTCTCGTCGAATATGTTCCCTCTCACATTAATTGCTTGTGCGTGCATACCCAACATCACTCTTTCTCCTAGCGTAGGCTCGGTAATTGATTCGCCCAGAGCTATGGCTTGACTATTGTCTTTGACTCGTACTCTATAACGTGCATCGCGAAAGGGAAATACCGGGCCTTTGTTTACGCTTTGAAGCGAGTTCGTTTTCTTTGTAATACAGCTGTGGGTCAATATAATGCGGAAGAAGCCACGTAAGCACAGCGTAATGCTATTGTTCCGTGCAAACCGACTTCGTTCTATGATTGAAAATCTTTTTGTTAAAAGGATATTTTTGCGGTACCGATGAGGATATTACCATAATTATTGGGGTAGATTATGGACGTCTATCGTGTCCGAAGGGCCCCCAGCCTACTATACCACGCACCAGAATTTGGTCGACCTTGACTGGCTGCGGTTGGTTACCCAACCGCGACACAACACGATGCTTTTTTGTTGTTGTTTATTCCTAGAAGCGGCTTGGAATAAGAATAGGCGATGAAAATACGCCGGCATATTTTGCGTCGAACCTTTCGTGATATTTGCTTTTTTCATAAAGGGACCATTGTGGTTTTCCTATTAGCTGTACGGCTTTTTATCGGAGTTGTGAATGTGCGCCTGTTGGGCAGATGTGGCAGGGAACGTTATTGAAAACGGTGCGTTTCATTATATTTGCGTATCTTTCGTCATACCGTGTTATTCAGGAAGGGAAGTTCATTGGATCAGTGTGTAACTATTAAATGATGCAGTATATGCTGGCATAGGTCGGCAAAAATAAAGAAAAAAATGTGTAGCCCACCCAGACGCACACAGGAAATATATTTAGCCTTTAGGGCTCACTCGACCAATATTTTCCTCAATGAGAGGTACTGGGACACGAGACACCTTCGGTCTCAAACTCATGGAAATATTACTCACCCAAGCTTACCCGCACTCGCGACTCAATATGAGTCTGTGCGAGACTACTCATGATTGAGTTTGCCGAGCTATGTTATGCTGGCTCTGCACATTAATTATTGCCACTGATAAGAATATAGCAGTGTTGTCATTTTCACATTTGAGCATCACCCTGCAATCAGTGGGCTAACTGTTCACTTGTATTTCTTGCTTTTTATAAGTTATTGAATAGACTGCACAATTGACCAGTCTTTGTCTGTGTTGCTGCAGGATAAACTGTTGTTTGGTAGTCACATTACGGGAATTCTAAAGGTTAACAAGTCTAAATCTTTGCCGATTCGTTCGCATGTCCCTAATGTTTTGTTCAAAGAAACTTCCCCCATTTCTGTAAGCGATTGCGTGGAACACAATGCCCCCTTGTGAGTCATTGTGGGAGGTCTCACTATATTCAATATTTTAAGGTGTTCGATGTCGTTCAAATCAACACCTCACTGCTAGAACACTTGTATTAATCGGTACACTTGTGTGCGAGTCTTTCCATCTCAATTTTGAAATGGCTGCGATTTTCCCGACTGCAGAGGCTTCTCCGAGCAGTGACAATCAAGTTCCAGCGGAAGTAGCAACCACGAAGGGAGACACCATGCCAGAGGAACTAAGCTCATCATTGTCCAAGGAAAAGGACCGAGGATTCTGGGGCAGGTAAGCTACATCATTGACATTCTCATCTATATATTAGTGGTTATGTGTATTGTTTCCGTTTTATTTCGTATGCATTTTCTTAATACTATGCTGTCTTTATGTATATGTCCTTCGCTTGTATTTGTTTGCGTTATCAGTTGTCATCGGCTTTGTAAAAGTTGGTAGAACCTCGTTAGAACGCTTCAGTGTAGCCTTATGGTCATTCGTGAGGTACCGTAATATTACTGCATGAAGATTGCCGACTTAATATTGGACTCTCCAGCACTACTGCGGAATGCGCAGGACATGTTCTCGGGTGCTGCAATAACCATGCAACCTCGACGGCGGTAAACCAGTCTGCTATGTTCGTGGCCATGTTCGTGGTATCTACTGAAAATCCGTCGCACCGCCATATGATCAACGCTACGCTGTGTTGACGAGAAGCCCTCCACTACGGCGTCTCTCATAATGAAATAGTGGTTTTGGACGTTAAACCCCACAAATCAGCTGTGTTGACGAGACGCGTCGCTTCGGGTCGTGCTTGACCAGGTTTCGCTTTCGGTTCTCCGTCGCCCGCCCACCACTAGGGGTCTCCGTAGTCGCACTCCGCGGCTCTGTCTGCTGTCGTCATCATGCGAGTCGCGAAACCCCGTTTCGAAACCAGAACATGTGCGCCAACGATTTTGCGGAGGGTCGCAAACCCGCGCGTCATCTGGGGGCGTTAAAAGAAAACACTCCTCATTGCCACTGCAGCTAACCGCGCGTATTTGCGCGGCTTGCCGCCGCTTGAATTGGGAGACGTACTTTCAAGAAAGGTCTTCAAATGGGGGGGGGGGGGATTATTTGTCTTATAGACACAGTATAGCTGGTGAAATTTAAGCAGCAAGCATAAAAACAGCACTCAATTCATCCATATCAGGCATAGGCACAGACAGTATTGCCGTTTATTAGTTTGTTTTCTCGCCTATAGAAGGCGCCACAATCGGCAAACCACTTTCTGCGACTATGGACGTTAAAACATGGGGAAGTTCCGCAACTTGATCATGGTGCGCTATGCGGCTTTTTTTTTTTATTATTATTGGGAAGTGGGTGGTTGTGTGCTGGCTGGATTTCGCATCAGCTGTGCGAGCATCGATTGGCCGCCTCGGCGCCTGCCCGTCTATACGTGATTACGGGCGCGCGGGCGCTCGCGGTTCTCTCCCGGGACTCCCAACGTTGCGCGGTTGTTGCTGCGCGTGGTGTCGCCGGAGAGAGCGGGAACTCGCCGCTCGAGCCCACCGTGGACGTTTTTCCGAGCGATTTTGTACCGTCGACGCCTTTCCTCGAGGAAGCGAGAGAACAAAAACAGAAGCGAAGGCCGGAACGCCCGCTTCTCCCTACGCGGCCACCGAATCGACCCTCTCGGCGACACCGGTAGCAAACATCGAACACGAAGGAAAGGTGGGACCACGCCCGAATTTAAGTTTGTCTCCCTGCCGGCGTGGTTTGTAGTAATACCGCCCGGTCAGGCGGCCGTCAAGGGTGAGGAGAAGGAAACACCAACGTCGTTTTCTGCCGCGCCACTCGGAGGAAAAAACGAAACTGCCGCCGCCGACGACGACGACTTCTCTCTGGAATGTGATGCGCCCGGTCTCTTCCGCCTGCGCGCACACTGTGCGTCCCAGTGCCGGCAACGTGAGATGCTGCTAAGCGCGGTGTGAATGTCGCAGTTCCCCCGGTGTGCCAGAACGTAGAGGTGGACTTGGACCCCGAATTAACAGCTACCGAGCACGCGGTAGTCTGCTGTTTCGCCGCCTTCGTTTCAACGACTGGCGCCGCTCCGCTGTCGTTTTCGCTCCCGCTCCGCTGAGCAGCTAGTCAATCGCTCACTCGAAGCCGCTCCGCGCGGCAGGGGCGGCCTCCTTTTCGGTAAAGTCCTTCGACAACTGGCGAAACTAAACAACGCTCTGCTCGCCACTGCAAGGCGACGCGACAGTGCGAAGACGGTAGCTTCTACTGTTGTACCTCGTCGTCAGTTCGTTCATCGGCGAAACAGTGCTCGCTCATGTGACAGGCTCGGCGGTTATTGACGTGCGTACAAGCCAGCGCAGTTGGGGGTTCCCGTCTGCATGCCGCTTTCAACGATGATACACGAAGAACTGTGAAGCTTCGCGACTCTGAGAAGAAGAGAGAAATAAAGAAGAAAGTGTATTGCGTATATTTTGTACGACGACTTCTTCGAGTGCTCGATCGTTCGTCTTGCTCCTTCGCTTTTTGGCTTGTGTGTATGGTGTGAAGAGGTTGCTCTGTACCATACCCGGTCGCCGCCGAGCTTCGTAGAGACCAACGAGACGCGAAACGAAAAAGAAGAGACCTCGCTGCGTGTTGTACTGCGGCGTCAGGAGCATCGCTGGATGACATGGCTCGACAGCACAGGTGGTCATCTTGCCATTTTTTTCCCTCCCTTACTGTCGTTTTGTGTGTGTGTGTGTGTTGTCGATTAGCGGTACAGCTGTACGTACTTTGGCTCGTTGTAGGGCTGTCTTTCCTTTATTGTTTTGTTGTCGGGTGTTTTAGGTTCGAATAGCTCCACTGAGCGAGTACTGCGAGCCATATGTGTGGAATAGGTATACGGACTGAGCGTTAAATTGTGTAACTCCTAGTAAATTTCACTCTATTCTCATTTGATGCTCGGTAAAGATGAAGCGAAAAAAAAAAAAGGCGTGAAGAGGTTGAGACCAACAGAACGAGTGTCGGTCTCAACTTTTTGTCGGTGTATTGCGCTCTATTTTGCCAAGAGCGCATCACCAACTGGCCCAAACTTCTACTCTTGCTATTCTCTCTCTTTTTTGTTCTTTTTTTTTCTGTTCAAATTCTGCGATTTATACTGTCGTCGTCAAGTTGACGCAGTTGTAAGGCAGGAAGAAATGGCGAGGCATTCGTGTCTTCCGACGTAGCCAAAGCAGCCTCATCCTGTTCTGGCCTAACAGGAAACGGCGACAGCTCATTTAACTGCCTTCCTTCTTCGGATAACGGATCGTTTACCCCTGGACGGCCGCCTCGGATACACACATGCGCGCTTTCGATCTCTTTGTGTGTGTGTGTCTGTATATACCTTTAAAGATGTATCGATTGAGATCTGGCGCTGCTGATATACAGTGTGTTGTTTTCGCAACACCGCGCAGCGAATATGGCCTCCTCCACCTGGGAGGCACCACTTTCTTGTCTTTTTTTTTTTTTTTAGGGTGAACGTCGATTTGTTTCTCATCGTCTCAAAGTTGAATTCTTTTTCTTTAATCGCCATCTACGCGGATGGCAGGTGCCGATCGGTATAAACGGCTCCCGCCAACTTTAATCGCAAACTGATGAAGGGACGCGGGCTTGTTCCATTCAGTATAAGCCATCCTTGGGCCGGGCCCTTCCTTCCGAGGGAACAGAAGAGCACTGTAGAAGCTCGCGTACTGTACGCATATGTGTGAGGCTGATCAGAAAGCAGCTGTCGAGTATGGTTTAGTTTTGTTTTGCTCTTTTCTTGTGTCACTAATGCGATTGTAGCGGGCCTTAGTCGACCGTACCGTAAGGATCGGCATCTGCGGTTCTCTCTCTGTGTCGCCGCGGGCGGTACACGAAACTGTAGGCTTTCACACTGTATACCTCTTTTGACGGCTGACCTTTTGTTTGTATCGGGAGTTGGACGATAATGTTCACCGTCAGTCTATAATGTATCCCCACGTTGTGTAGGGTTAACGACGTCGTTACAAATTTATCAAAAGCCCACTAGGTCTCGCGCTGAAAGTGGTCAACGTCGCGCGCTGAGAAATAATTAAATGTCGTGGCTTATTCGCAGAAGTAAGTTGCCCTTTCTTTCTTCAGTCAGCGCCAATGACGTGAGGCTATTCTTTTTTTTTTACACGTTTTCCAGGGAAACGCTTTATACGGACTAAAGAGCTGGAGCCGTTTGCTACTATTTAAATAAGCGTCACATTTTCTACCAATAAAGAAGGGATGTGGTTACACGTGCGGTAGATCAGTGTCCTCAAGCACCATGCGTTTGATCACTATGACCTGGGTTGGAGTCTCACCCGCAATTGAATTGGGATAAACTTTCGTATCCTCGCCATACTTCAGTTGCACCGTGCTTTCTTTTACTCCCCTGCTTTCTTCTACTTGGCTACTATCTTAATCGCGCTTGTTTGGAGCGGTCCAGCGCGCGTTTATGCATGCTGGCGCCTCCCGTGCAGCTCAGATGCTACCTCGCGTTTGCTACAAGCTTCCGTTCATAGTTGGATTATAGCTCGAGAACCTAGTGTGCGTGTGGTTGCGTTTGGTATCACCACAGCGTCGGTCGCTGCATATTTTTGCGCGCGCACGCATACACGCACACAACTGCGTCTTAAGCTGCCGACTGGCCGCTGTACGTGTGATTCAGACTGTACAGCGTCGTCGGTTAGAATTAACGTAGTATTGGGAACCTGAATTCTACATTTAATGAATATTTCACACTTGTGAAACTTCGGATAACAGTTTACCAGCGGAACGTAGCATTTGTGACAGCGAACAGACAATGATGCCAAGGATATAATATGGAAATTCATCTGTAGTGATTATGAGATAAATGAAAAAAAAAAAAAACTTAAGTGGACGAAAAGATGAATCGCCACCGCCAGCGACTGTACCTGCGACGCTCGAATAAAGCGTCCGATGCTCTCTCTACCAATTGAGCTAGGGCGACGGTCGTCCTCCCGTACTCTATTATCTGTGCACTTGAACCGCTTTCGCTTCGCGCCGGCGGCAGGTTGTCGTATCGCCCTCTATACTTTCTTCGCGTTTGTCGTAATTACTTCGAATAACTACTACTATACTTGTCTTGATTGTCCGTTGGATGTCGGTAGTGTTGCGTCTCTAACAAATAGAACGAGCCCTTCGAGTCTTCCCGTTTTCCGCGCGGGTCGTGCTTTCCCGCTCTCTGTGACTGCGTGCGTGTTTTTTCGGTAGCTCCTCTTGCGGCGGAGTGTCTGGGACCCTCCCTCCTCGACTTTCGC